GCTCCTTGCGCCGCTGCAGCCCCGGCGCCGCCACGGGCTGGTCGTAGGGGCCCGGCTTGGCCCAGTCCTACGGACAGGACAGGAGCTCGTCGGCCCGCGCCGCACCTGCGGTCGCAGCGCGGGCGTTTTCAGTGTGAGGTTTTGAAGCAAGAGGTTTATGCAGCAAACTGGGCCAGATATAAGTTAATTTTGAAGATACTGAATATATCTTCATTGAATATTTGAAGATAAAAATATTCTATTACAAAAAAAAAAAAAAGAACCCCATCTCCTTTCCTAAAGGGAACCTAAACTTCTTAATCTACCTAAACTTCCTTATACAAAGATATTTAACATTTTGGTGTTATTATTTTCTTTAGAGGGAATTCCACTCTGTCTAAAGTCCGTGTTTTCAGAAGCTCAAATGCAGAAACCACCCGTGTAAGTCAGCACAGGGCAGCAAATACCCCCCAGCTTCCGATGGGAACACAGCCCTGGGATTAAACAGTTAATGCCAARCTAGGACTACACTTGAGTTTTTAGTGTCATGTCTCAGTGGAGGACATGGGAAATACAAGGCAGCTCTGCGGACAGAAGCCACCTGTCTAAGTGGCTGCTTCAGTTTTAGTAAGCCCAGGAAAACTCGGCTTTGCCCAAACGGTTTTGTCTTTGTTGGGTTTTGCTGCAATAAAAGGGCTGGGAAAGTGTTTGCAGCCTGGGCAGAGCTGGTGCGCTGGGGGCTGCCCCCGGGGCGGCCACGGCGGCTGCAGCCTCCGGCCGCGGGACAGGGCGAGTCGCGCTCTGCAGCCCGACACCTCCGGTCCCGCCGGAGCACAGAGGGGTCGCGATGCAGAGGGACCCTGCAGACCCAGCTGCAGCGGCTCCCCGTTGCTGCTGGTCTTTGTCATCGGGACTGTATCCCGAGGGGGCAGAAGGAGCTGAGTGCTGCCGGTGTCTGCATTTCTCTGGGCGCCGCGCGGCTCCGCGCACGCCTGGCTCGGCAGCTAAGCGCGGCAGGCGCCGAGGACACGAGCACGTCCTGCGGCGGCTCCTCTCGTCTGCCCCGGACCCTCCCTCTGCAGGGGCTCTCAGTTTTAGCATCTTTTAGGCAGCACCAGCACAGGCCAGAACATCCAGACTTGCCACCCTCTCTGCCATGACCACCATGCAGGGCCCGTTCCGAGGGATGGCAAACAGAGCAGGTCAGCAGGCAACAGAGCGGTCACTGCCCGAGCACAGTGCTGTGAGGAGGAGCAGGAGGAGGAGCAGGAGGAGGAGGAGGAAGAGGTGAGGACAGCCACAACAAAAGGAACACAAACCTTCCAGCTAGGGATCTTAGATGATGGCAACATGCCTGGCCCAATGGTGTAATAATGAGCGTAGTCTGGAAGGAGGGCGGAGGGAGCCCGAGTCCACGCGCGGGAGACAGGCGGGAAATGAGGGAAAGGACCTGCACCAACTGAGGCTACGGATGGGTCACTCGATAAACTACAGTGATAAAACCCATTAGRCAACTGGAAACGAAACAAATAAACAAAAAAACAGAAATTAATATAAACAGAATGAATACAAAAATACACCGTGACTTTGATGTGCTAGGGAAACAAAAAAAGAAAAATAAACTGTATCTTAAAACAAACCCAAAATGCATTTTGCTGCAAATAAACAACAGAAAATTGACACAATGCTCGGCTCAGAAGTGACACTGCTTGAAAGCTGTTGTGCAGTATAACGAATGTCGGGCCCTGGCGTGGCCGTCACTGCCGCCAGGCTGAGCAGCCCCGCAGGCGCCCGCAGTGCCGGGCAGCGCCCGGGACGGAGCGGGAGCGGGAGCAGCCCCGGCCCGGCGGCCGACACGGAGCGGGAGCGGGAGCAGCCCCGGCCGGAGGCGCCTCCGCGGCTGCAGCTGCACGCGGGGAGAGCACTCGGCCCTCGGCAGTGACGCTGCAGCCACGTGAGGAGGGGAAAAACCAGCAAGGATTTAGCAGATGAGAATGGGCACCACTGTCACTGTCTCCCCCAATTTAAAGTGCATCCCATACAATTCATTCCAATYGTGCTCTGCTGTTATTTTTAGTTGTTTTGATCAAAACCATGCCCAAATTCCCCATGAGTGTGACCCACGCTATTAATGGGGGAGAGGGACGAGCCCCCAAACAGCAGGACCTGGGCGAGCGGCTGCTCAGCAGGTCACCCAGCTGGCTTTGGGCAGCGTCTCACAGTCCCCTGGAGCAGAAAAGGTGGGCAATGAATTTTCCTAACAATTTACCTCCGTGCAAACCCTCAATTTGTAGCACCCCCCTCCCTCCAGTTAATTTAGAGTGCGGCCTTGGCAGACACATTCGCCCTGCAGGGAGCGTGACGGCTGCTATTCTCATCTCCACGGGAGGCATCCTGGCTGTGTCCCATGCACGCCGGCGGTTCGGGTGGTGCCGCGGTGGGGTAAGGAGCTAATGGGGTTGTACGTCTTTGAGATGAAGTTTGTCACCTTCTCTGTGGAGGCCCAAGCCCCCATGGTGGAGCCTGAGCTGACTGAGGTGGGGGAACTGCACTCGCTCACTGACTGGCAGGTTTCAGAGGCTTCGGAGGAGGCAGAGCTGGACGAATTCTGCAGCGGGAAACGGCGCCGCGCCGAGGCAGGGCAAAGGAGACACAAGCCACCGAAAAGAAAACAAAATCCAACACGAACCAAAGAGAGACACAAAGCACATACACAGAGACACACACAGGASAGTGGGAAGGATGAGAGAAGCAGAGGGTTAGGGTTAAAAAAAAAACTCATTAAAACACTGCTCAAAACCATTGCTAATGCTCAGCAAGTCTGTAAGGGCAACAAAAGCCCCTTGCCCAACAAGGAGCAGCAGCAGCTCGTGCAGAGCAGCAGGCTCTCTGCATCCCCAGGACACGACGTTCACATTTGAGGCACGGAGCAGCCCACGCCGCCTGCGGCCACGAGCTCTTGGGCATTTCGAGCCGCCAAAGCGCCTGTGAAAGCTCAACTGAGCTGGAACAGTATGGAACAGAGAAAGGAAAAATACTTACCGAGGTGGGGCTTCCCAAAGCACCTCGCGTCCCCTGCAAGCAGCCTGGCCCCCCTTTCCTGCCCCACAGGCGCTATGAGGAGCCCGTTCTGCATGGGAGACACCAAGGGTGGCCTGTGCCCGTCACCCGCTTCCCATCCGCAGCAGGGAGCGGCAGGAAGGGAGAGGAAAAGCAGGACACGGACTGTGCACAGGGGCAAACTGCACCCAACCATGGGGCTGGCTCCTTGGCGAATAACCAACGGGGCTGATACACTAAGTGCAAAGCTTTTGTATCTCTCCCTCTCGAAAAGCAGCATCGCCCTCCTCCAGTCACACACAGGTCCAACTGGGTCCCTTGAAATCATCAAGAATGATCAAAATCGTCAAGGCTAAGCTGGCAGGACAACAACTAGCTCTGTTGGCTGTCGGAAGAGCCAGTACTAGCACCACAATTAATTCATCCTATTCCAAGACCTGCAAAGGAAGCCTGAGGAGACGCCTGGCATTTTACGACAGCAGAGACAAATGGCTGCGATTTCCAGAACGTGCTCTCACAGCAAGTTGTGCAGCAAAGCCTCGGATCTCAAGGACTGAAAAATTTGAGAGGAAATCTTACCTAAAATAAAAATGTTACCAGTAACGTTGGTGACGTAAAACCTAAAATCAAACGACACCTTAGGTGAGATCTTGCAGTGAGTATGCAAGTAGCATGACAGCTAGATAAGAAGTAATGCAGAGGAAGAATAGGTACTAACACCCAAAACTCATCTCGGAGTCCACCAAAACCTATGTAGAAAGAAAATATATATATATATATRTRYAYAYAYAYAYATATATACAGCTAACTGTCTGAGCAAGAGGAGATGCTGATCTCCTGGGACGCGACATCGTCACCATAAAGATTTTAGGCAAGATTCCTGTGGCTGCTGAGCAGCCAACACAGGATCGGCACCTTGAGCTTATTAGTGAACTGTGGATCTGGGTGAGTGCCATGAAACTTCACAAAGGTAAAGTGAAAGAAAAGAAAAAAGAAGAAAGCTGAAAGGATGCTACAAGGATCCCGTCCCGTGCCGAGGAGCACACTGGGTCTTCACAAGTCTCCTTAGAGTACAAGCAAACTCATCTGACAAGGCTGACACTCCACAGGCAGGTAAATGCTGAGGTGAACACAAGACAGAAAGAAACTGCAAAAAAAAAAAAAAGAAGACATGCAACTACTGAGCACAGAAGTGAAAAGTATCTAGTGGGGGTACTCTGTGTTGCAGAGATTTGATGTTTTCTGCAATTTGTCACATTCTTCTTGATTTAAAGAAAAGCCTCTAAAGATGATGTAAGTGAATCTGATAAACATGGGCTCCGGGAGACTCTGATACAGAACAACTCAGGCTCATAACCTGAAAGGACAGAAGAAGAAAACATCTTGGATTTTGGTATTCTGCATGGGACAGGACAGGGCRGGAACCTGCATCCCAAATGCCAGATGAGGCCAGGCTGTTTCTGCAGATGCCTTGATGGTGACAAGTGAGAATTCCTATGTGCAAGCCGGAAACTTCAGGTTATGTCAAGCAGTGGTGAAAATAAGTCATAAATGGGATATCAGTAGCACTGCATAAAGCAAATAAAGTGAAAAGGACTAAAACCGCAAATTCTGCAGATGCAAGGATTTGTTCAACTGGCGATATATGGAGGAAAAAAGACTGGAAATGGCAAACTTGTTACTGCAATAAGATGGTCTTTGCATCCATGRGCAAACTGTGCTCCAGAGAGCAAAGGGAAGATAGCTGCAGTACCTCCTGTGGCCAGCAGCTGGGGTGGCTTGTCTGGAGAGAGGCAGCTACAGGCAGTGTGGCAGGAAGCAGGGGACATTCTGGAGAGGMACAACTGTACCTCTCACTGCAAGGTCTCCTGCCCAGGACCCCAGGAGGAGCCACCGACMCCTCTCACAAACCAAGGAAACCACMTTRTCATCCCTCCTGGATCAGGGAAGGGGAGAAAKGGCTTCCCCAAACTTCCTATGGCCACCTGCAATGGGCAAAGGATGCACCACGATACCACGGGGAAAAACATCTTGGCAGAAGGAAAGACAAGAAATGATGGCAGGGAAATGGGGCCTTCTCGGATGGAGTAATTCAGGGCGCACAGGCCAAGGGAGGCTCAGGAGGGGCCGAAGGAGGATGGCAGAGGTGAGGAAACCATGAGGATGGAGGCAGCAGCGCACTGACCTCCTGATGGAAGAACACCAAAGAGGGGTCAGCGAGGCAAAACCGACCCGGACCGGACTGTGGAAACTGTCCCAAACTGAGGAAACTRCCTCAAAGTGGGCACAGGGAAGCCGGGAGCTCCATGGGGAGCACGGGGAGGCCAGGGGCTGCCTCACTGCGAGGGCGGGAAGGCCCCAGCGCAGGAGGCGCCGCCCTGGGAAGGCCGCAGCGGCGCCCGCCGTGCGCCCCGGCCCTGCCCGCTGCCCTCCGAGCCCTGGGGCCGCCCTGAGCTGCTGCTAAGCCCTGTCCAAAACAGGACTCTTTCATTTCAGCTCTTTTAACCACAAGAGTTTTGTTCTTTTTTCCCCTTCAAGGCTGCGATAACAGCGGCTGTACTCAGCCCTCAAGGTAGCTCTTAAAGAWCTTGAAGAACTTGTGGAAAGAGTTAATAGTTAATAATTAATAGTTAATAGTATTAGCAGCAATGTAAAGCAGCGCACACCAGCAGCTGGTTCCTCAGATGACCATCACACACGGCCAGCCTGGTGGCTGGTGTCTCACACAGTGCCCCATGGCTTGTTCTGCCCCTCTGCTTGGGCTGSGATCACAAATTCCAGTGGGGACAGACAAAAAGCTGCATTTGGGGCCAGACTGCATGATTTTTGTTCTCCATTTATCCTCCTACTAGTCTACTAAAAGGCCGGCAGCCACCCTAGATCAGTCTCCTTTGTTTGCTACATTTTGCATTTTAAAAATAGCAGTACTGCTTTCTGAACCCGTTCGCTTCCTCATACAATAGAGCTTCCTGGACAAGGTTTCTCCAGGAGACTGATCCTAATGAAAAGCCTGGTCCAAAATCCTTCTGAAATCAGTGGAAGACTCAGCAGGTACCTTTCCAGAAGCTGTGGATAGTGTCTGTAGGTCATTATTCGATTTCYCTCATTTTCAGGAATGAGAGGAATTTCAGTAGAGAGGAATTTCCTCTCTACTGACATCTCCTCTCTAATCAAGAGCAAACCCTTGGGAAACTCATTCAGAATGGAAGTTTAGGAGAAGCAAATACCTGGTGGTAATTAATAAACTAATGGTGCATTTCTGGTTTTGTTTAAGGTCTAAATTAGGAGCATTTCTTAATTTACATAGAAAACTGAACAGCCATAAGAAACTACTTCCCCTATTCTAACTTCATCTTGCTTCAAGCAACAGAATCTCCTGAAATGCAAAAAATCTCTTCAGCTTCCTAATTTCTACAAACAGGAACAAATTCACCTCTAGTTCACATCCCTCTGCTATCCAGGGAAAGAAGCTATTTCAAGGGTATCGTAGCAATAAAGACGCCAAGTCCTCCGCAACTTGGCAGCTCCCTTTGCCTCCTTCACCCGCTCCTTTCTCTTCACCTGGCACTCGCTTTCACCCCATCGAGGCAGAAGCCTGAAAATCCACCGGCACAATCACTTCCCACCTCACTCTCACAAGGCAGCTTCACTCCCATTCCAGTCGATGATCCTTTTCCAGGCAACGCTGGCCTCAGATCTGGCATTTACGGAAGCTACTCAGCTCCAGGGAAGGAGTAGCGGTTCAATTACACCCAAGTGCACTTGCTTAATTAAGATTTGAGCATTTTACAGTGACCTTTCGAAACATACAGCGGTCTGGYAGGGAAAAACACCTTCCCTCCCAGTGATATTAACAACGCTGCAGAACGGAGACTGAACTAACACAGAATAAAGGGTTGAGTCTGGTTTTAGATTTGCTCTTTCTCCTTTCCTCTATGGAGGAGTAATAAGGACATAAACATCTGCTACTTGAGGMCTATAATCTTCACTTCACCAGTTACCTCTCCTTTCATAAAATCTGTATCTCATTTGGTTAAATACTTAGTTATTCTTTGCTTGGGAGGTAACGCTGAAAATTAAACTGATTTTATTCAGAACCAGAGATAGGGGAAAAATGTCAAAAATGTAGGTAAGAGCAMAAAATCTCATATAGCTCTCATGGTTGCACTCAGATAAAATGGGAATTTTGTCTCCCACTTCTGCCTTTTTATTGAAAGACAAGAGCTTTTTTGCTGCTGGTAGGTTCTAACGCATGCAGCCAGCAAACACTACCAGCAAAGCATCCATCTGTGCAAGATATATAACTTCTAATTCCCTTTCCTGCTTGTAGGGCTTGCTTGGCTGCTTCCGCAGCGTCCCCAGAAACAGGGACACCAGTGTTTTGGGACAGCRGCAGCCGGGATCGCGGCTCCCCCCAGGCCCCACGGAGCCTCCACACCACAGCACCAGAGGAAGAGCTGTCAGTCGGTTAGAGACAAGCAACAYGAAACGCTGTGGATTGAACAGCTTTTCGGTAAGCTCACGGTCACGGTTTCCTCTCAGCACAACACACACATTTTACTTAGTGCTGAACACACAAAGCAAGACACGGAAGCGCAGACGAAGCGGCCAGGCAACAACCTGTCACCTCTTCCTCTGGGCAAGGACAGACAGAGCCGCAGACACACAGGGCACATACCTGCTTGCTCTACCACCAGGCTGCACCTGGCAAGGCAACGTCACGCGGCTGCAGCCGCCTACAGCTCACGAAGAGCTCGAGTGACGTTGGGAGCGATCTGCAACTTCAGGGACAGTGGCTAACAGGAAGCAAAAGCGGAGGAGGAAGGTCCTAGTGGGGTGAATCAGCCTCCAACTTTGGGGATGTTCAGCCAGCTGATACCAACCTAAGCTCCCTCCCCATCTTAACAGGGAAGCTTGCAAAGAGGGACTTTTAAAATTATTATTATTCATCCATGTTAAGGATAATTGCAAAGTTAAACCTGCATCTGCAAACATTGCATCACTGTGTAGATTACCACTTTCTTATGCCGGTGCAGTGGACACTGTGAAAGCCAAAGATGATGGCAGCAAGTAACACTGAGGCATGTATCTTAAAAATCAACTTCCTTACCTTGTCACTATTCCAGTTTATATGTGTTCATTTACCTTTTTTTGCATTTCATTTAGGTTAGCCATAGGCCATMTAAATAAAACATTCATTAAATAAAACATTCCTTTAATTAGTCTGCACAAAGTCCTACATCCAGCTGCTTCAGGATGTTGTCTATAAAAAACAATGCTGATGTGCCCAGATGGGGGACACTGCAGAAGAAGCACGTGCTTGAAATCAGAACATTTCTATTAAAACGAAAGAGATAAATAGGAAAAAAAAAAAAAATGTTGAGCTTTCCCTAAGAATCTGATCCTGAATGAACCAGGTTGTTCTGGATGATATCCTCAGTGTTTCACTAAGTGCTGCTGACCGAATCAATGTCTCTGGAAGGATCGGGGCGCAAGGGGCCCTATGTGCTATCAAAGGTGGGCTAGAAGTAGCCCACATGTGCAGGTGACATTCAGTAACTGGTGACGCTGAAATGGTCGGTGTGAAAATTCAAGTTATCACTGGCCTGCAGCCAAAGTCACAGCAGTGGTCACAAGGCTGTTGTGGCATGGATGTGTGTCCATTAAGCAGCCAACAGCACCAGACAGTAATAAACTACAACCTGTGAAGGACTTTTAACTAGTAACCTCATGACTAGTAACCTGAGGTGGTGAGGTGATCGATTCCCACCCATGTGGTGGATTTCCCTTGCTCTTCCCCATCTGATAGATCTGAAACTGAGGCACCTGGGACCAACCTCMCCCGTGCCCCAGACACTGCCCATGCCCTCCTGCAGAGCTAACCTTAGGGCAGCAGCATCGAGATGCCCCTTCAACAAGGGGCCCAGTCTTCACAGCAGTGAAGCTCAGTGAGGTGGGAATCACCCTCAGCGCTCAACCTAACTCCACGGCACCCCCAAAACCCCGTAAGAGCTGCTTTTTAAGAAGAGAAGGCGAGCCAAGCTAGAGTCTCCAGCTCACCTCTCGTCCCCATGCTTGCACGTACCTGGTTAGGTGCTTCTGGTGGCATAGGGGATGGCGATTTGGACTGGAAAGCATCCTGGGACATGAATCCAGAGTCATGGGAGGACACACTGGACAGCCTCATGGGTGCCTGCTGAGGCAGATTGGAGCTGCGATAGCGATAGTGTGAACTGGGTGAGTGCGAGTGCGAGCCACTGGAGCGGGAATCACTACTGTTAACGCTGTTCAGACTGCTGTGAGAGACAAGAGGAGCGGGGAGGGGAAGGGGGAGAGGACAAGACGAGAGGGGTAGGGGTGGGAGAGACCCATATACGGTACAATTAACATTCCACGTGTTGCTAGCAACAGGCAGCATAAACCGGGGGAAAAACAACAAAAAAAACGGGATTGGCAAAATAAACATATATATATATATGCACATATATATCAGTAGGGTCTGAGAAGCAGTTGCAGTATCCTTGGTGAGCACAGAGAAAATGGCAGTTTACCCTGAACCTGGCTCAAATGAGCGCACTGGAGGCCAGGCCCTAGGAGGCTGAGCCAGGTCTAGCCGAGGAGGTGGCGACGTGTCCTCCCTCCCCGGGCTCGACACTGGTGTGGCCTCCACAGCTGCTCTCGTGCTAAGGGCCCAAGCCCCCGGGGAGCCCTGGAGCAGGGCACTAACCCCTACCGGGCACTGAAACGGCCGTGCCGGGGCAGGCACAAGGCCAAGGCTAGCAGCAAAGGGCATCGAAGGCCACCAGGACTCCCCAGGAGCGTCTACGAAAGGAGGATTCTGACTTCCCAGCACAGAGACTGGGTTTTTAATCTCTAGGATCTGCCAGTGATTAACTGGTCAGAGTGTAGGAGCTTTCCAAGCCCCTTTCGCTGCGGAGGTGACTGAGTGGCACTAGAGGATACATCCACGTGAAGGCAGATCCCTCCTTGCGTTGGCAGAACCCATCTCCTAGCTGAAGGGATGACTCTGAACACACACAGGCAAGGACTGCCCTTCCTATCCCCACATTTCATGTACAGTAACATGTACAAGTCTGGTGCAGATGAAGAGGAGCCCTGCATTTTTTCATCCATTTTTTATCCRCAACAGCCTCTTGCCAGACAGATTTTACTGCACAAGAAGATAAGGTCAACTAGGAAAAGGTGATGGATTTTCCAGCCATTTTCTTTTACAGCTTCAGGATATTGCATCTTTAAGCCTGTGCTCAACGCTTTAAATATGTGTGTTTTCACATATATATAAAAGTATTGCAACTTAATTTTTTATATATATCTGCATGCAGAGGCAAGTACATACATCGAAGTAGTCATGTTCACTTGTTCTGACATGCTACAGGGAACTTTGCTCATACACAGGGAACCTGTGGTATGTTATTCACAGAGCAAAAACCAAACGGTCATCACTTGGGAGCAGTTACAAAGGTGTAAGAGCAGAATACACACGAGAGTATCTTCCTTTTCAGTAAAAGGAATCAGTGCATGTAGACATCAGGGTCCAGGGGTAACATGCTAATAAACTGTAAAAACGCAGTTTTTACAGGGAAAGCGTCAACAGGATCCAAGTGTTCCAACATACCCGGGGACAGCATTAGACAGCACTAAACAGTCAAAGAATTTGTATCAAGAAAAAGCATTTCCATGTACCACAGGGCTGGGGCAATCGGCAAGGATGTTTTTCCTTTTCAAACACTTTAACTGACTGATTAGTAACAGCTACTTAGAATAATCTAAAAAGCTATCATAGGAAAAACCAGAAAAGGAAATTATGAATGAACAATCTCAGAGCTTAGATCAGTACAGTCTGCTCTTTGATCTGAAATGGCTTCAAGAGAACTGAATTAAAAGCATCTTCAAGTTGTCTTGAGTTCAAAAGTTGTTCAGTCATGCCCATCCTTTTTAATATTCTCAGCCACACATGTAAACAGATGAAGACCATGAGGGATTGATTTCATTAAGAGTTCTTAGTTAAGTCCTAATTATGCACACAAATCCATATCACAGTCTGAACCTTCCTCCCTTTGCCCCCAAAGAGGTTAAAATGAAGAAGTACCCATCTCCTTACCTGCAAACACTAGATTTTCTGGACATGGTCGTACTGGGAGAGGATGGAGGAGTCTGATAAGACCAGCTGTAATCAGAACCTTTCAAATCTAAAATTACCTGATAAAAGATAATCAACAGTATGAAAAACTTAAAAACTAGATTTTACTGGTAACAGAAAGAATCTGCTTGTCTCCAGCATTCTTTACCACAAGTTTTCAATGTCTGTTAACCCAGTCTCAGTTTTCTGCTAGAACTGGACTGTGTTATGCCACTTCCTATGTGGGGTGGTCAGCTTCATCCTTGAGTTTCCTGAAACTAGCAACTTCAGCACTATGGGGCTACAGATTTTAAGGGTGGTAGATAGAAAAAAAACCCATGAAATGTCAGAACCTGTGGACTAATCTTGGCAGTGCAGCTGCCCCTGCTGAAGAGGGATGCTCAGCTGCAGGGGGAGGAGGTGGCACCCATTTCTCATGGAAAAGGCAGCATYTTCATCCACCTTGATGTGTTACAGCTACCAAGTTACATGGGCTGCTCAGAGAGCACCGGGGAGCACTCAGTTGGCACTTAACCACCAAACTGTTAAAACTGCTCCTGTTAAAAATCATCTTGCTGCAGTAAAGCATCTGCGAAACCTAATGTAAAGCCACTACCTGCTAGCAGTCAGTATTTCTCATAACACTTAAGAACAGTGCAAGCTGAAAGATAAAGTATTTTCCTGGGAATGAGAACTAACCTGTTCACTTGAAGATGGCAATTTGTGTGGATCCATGGTGAGACTTTTGAGGTCCTCTGATATGGTTTGTAAATGTGTTATTTCTCCTAGCATTGATATTTCTTCTTCCTGAAGAGACAAATCAGCAAGATTAATAACTGCCTTGGTTTTATAAATGAGGTCCAAAACACAAGATACGAACTTCTGCATTTTGCTGGGGACTGTAGTCATCAGGCCCAAGGGAGGTGCTTTTCCTTYGTCCATAAATCATGGAAAGAGGCTTGGAAACATTCAGAGTTTTATGCCTGCTTTCAGATTGCCTAGGTTCTGAACTTAAACATCATCTCTCACCAATGAGGTCAGTAAGTCTCAGTGCTGCTTTGGTCACATCTTCAGAAAAAGAGAGTCAACCTCACTGCATTTGGAATAGCTTTATCCCTTTCTATGCATACTCACTAACGTGTCTTTAGGAGAGAAGATTGAGATGTGATCTGATCTACATGTACAAATACCTGAGGGGAGAATGTAGGGAGGAAGGGGCCAACCTCTTCTCAGTGGTGGCCAGTGACAGGACGTGGGGTAATGGGTACAAGCTGAAATACAAGAAAGTCTATCTGCATGTTAGGGAGGAAGAACTTTGCTGTGAGGGTGACAGAGTTCTGGCACAGGCTGCCCAGGGAGGCTGTGGAGTCTCCTTCTCTGGAGATCTTCCAAACCCGCCTGGATGCCGCCCTGTGCCCCGTGCTCTGGGTGTCCCTGCTGGAGCAGGGGTCCCTTCCAACCTCAGCCATCCTGTGGCTCTGTGATTCTAACCCTGCATGTAAACAGGGGTTAGATTCACACCTCTTGCCAGCTTTGGAGACTTTGACAAAGGCCCCGTGCAGGTGCTTCACGCTGGCTCACACCACACGAGRAGCCAGCTCTCTGCTGACGGTCTCGACACCCTAAGGTACCACAGCAACCCCACAGCTACCCTGGCAATGTCACCCAGGTCTGCTGGGTGTCCAGTTCTCCTCCTACTGCTCAGCCATCAGCTTCCTACTTCTCTAACCACTGAGGCTGATGCTCTTTGTMAGCAGACACTGTGAACATTTTGCATCAAAGCCTCTTCAGAGCTACGTCAGGCTTAGCCAAAGCCATGAACACTCAGTGCTGGGCAGCGGGCAACCTGGGATTATGAAAACACACTTCAGCTTTTGGAAGGATTTGAAGAAGCTGTCATGTGGGAGGGAAAGAGCTGCCAGAACACTGCATGGAAGCAGGCTGCAATCTGTCAGGTAATGTCACTGCACACGCAGGGGAGGTCTTGAAATAGTTCAGTCCTACTGCTAGAGTAGGAGGAAAGGTGGTTTACACTGAAATGTGATAGGAAGAAAAAGAAGTGGTGGAGACTACATCAGTGGTGGCTCAGGGCCACATTTGTAGGAACTTAGTGTCCATCCTAGTATTTGTGCCCTCTGTTTCTCTAGGAGTCATCCTGAAAGTTTTCAGTGCTTTTGGTCTCCAAATCACTCCAGGACCCCATGAGGAAGCACCCWGCTCTTGGCACTGCCTAGACAGGGGAATGCAGGCAGGATTTGGGCCAGTCTCTACGTCTCCGGAGATTACAGCACGCTTGGGCACCGCAGTGGGTGTGAGACGGGAGCCCTTACTATGACGGGCCGCAGCATGGAGATGAATGTGCAGAAGCGGCCGCGCTCCTCGATGAGGGCCTTCCTCACAGCTTGCTTCTCCGTCTCCTCCAGCAGCAGGTACTTATCATTGACGTCCTGCAAAGCGCTGTCCAGCTGGGGCTGGATGTCACCCCGTCCTGCACACAGGGAACAACGAGAAGGCATTTTATCCAACCTTTGGAGAGACAAATCCCCTGCTTGCAGGGCAGGCAGCCCTGCCTGCAGGCAGCCCTGCTGCCAGGCTGCTTTTGCAATTCAAGTTTCAAACGGAATTTTCCCCTAATTCAAATTAACAGGTCTTTTTTTCACCGAAATTAAACTTTTTCAGCATTTTTTCCCTTTTACCTATGAAACGAATCCATCTCAATGCAAAGAAAGTTCCACCAAGCCAAAGGCAGTTGTTCACGTATGGACTCTCTCAAGCTCTTAGTTGTTACAAGCTCTCATGTCACCCTTCCTGACAACCAACATCTTACTGATCAGGAGGGCATCCATCACTAATCCCAGGCACATTCCTCTTCCTACCGTCATGCTTGGCAAGCTCCTGCTGGCAACGCTGGGCAGTCTCTGCATGAGGGGATGAGTGACCTGACAGTAGGGACATTCTCCTGAGTGCTGGACCACAGGATTCAACTGCTTTACACAGGCAACCACTAAAATGGCTTTCTTCAGTCCACAGTTCAAAACAAATAAAAAGAACAACTGGAATCTAAAATACATAAGCCTGTCCAGTCCAGAATTGTCTATGAAAAGTCAAGAAGAAGAAAAAATACATCATTTTGCCAACCCAAAGCTTCACGTTGTTCAGCACAGGCCAACTCATATCTGACACTGACATTTTCTAGCAGTTAAGTATCTGACTCTGCAATAGCTGCTAACTTTGCATCATGCCAAAATCTCATCTCTCTAGTAATGAAGAGCTGCTAAACTCCAGCATCATTGACTCAACGTTGTTGCAGTCAAGAGATTTTTGAAGCAACCTAAAACTCCAGTTATTTTGAAGAACTTGAATTACATAAATTTCTCTCACCTCTTCCAGAAATGCTACAAACAAAGTACAAATGAACAATTTTTAAGGACAATCCGTTTTACGGACACACTTTGTGCACGCATGACTTCAAGCCACGAGCAAGAGGAAGAAAGGAGGCCTCATGTGTGCGGTACGAACCAGCATGTTCCACAAGGTGACTCAAGGTGAGAGCTACCAAAGGTAAGAGCTACCAAAGGCAAGAGCTACCAAAGGGAAACCTCTGCCTTATGATCATACCTCTCACTTAATACTCCAGAACAAGATGCAATCATTGGGTCCCCAGTGCTAATAAACCACCAGAAAAGACAGAGCCAGAGTGCAGCAGAGAGCATGGTTGGCCTGGAGCCATTACAGGCTGGCTGTACTCAACTTTCCTCCACATGGAGTTGAACGCTATCTGGATGAAGCTGCAGATCCCTGTGCACAGGGCTCCGAGGTGCTTCCTCGAGGAACGGCATCCCTGTGGGCTGGGCAGGCTCAGCACAGCTTCTGGCAAGGACACACAGGGACTGAGTTACTGGCATGAGCTCCTGGTGTCTGACCCTCACGACCAGACTGGCTGGTCAAGATCAAGGGGGATCATAAACTCGCTGGTCAAGCRGGATAAAATAGACTCTGAAGCTGTAGTTATCGGGTCTCTCCCTCAAAACTAGTAACTACCAAAAAGAGCTTTTAGGGGATTACCTAAAATTCTTCTAACACTCCTGTGCCTTCCTAGTGCTCTCCACCTAAGGAGATCAACTCTTGGTCTTCCCTTGACCACCGCTCTGTGGATTGACGGCCCTTTCTCATACTCAACCCTGCAACCTGATACAGCAATTCCATCATTTTGCACTTCCCTGGAGTTGCTCTTTCAAACTCCTCACAAACTGAGATTTCTGTCATCACCCAGAGCTGCCTGGAAATGACAGCAGGCGAAATGAGCTCATGTTCTTTAATTCTGGATCGTTTGTAAAACGTTTGTAAAACTCTGGCTGTAAAAGATGCAAAACATATTAACTGATTACTAAATCAATCACCCACTGGTTTGGCTCTGGAGGAATGCTGTAACCACATCTCCCTCCAGCACCCGCTGGAGCAACACTTTGAATTTTGTAACGTTTGTATTTTAYTCCTTTAGGTAAATCAGGAAATCAGTAGATGTATCATCCACTGCCAACCAGTTTGGTGGAGCTCTTGGGTGGCTCTTACAGGCTCCTGGGTGCCTGTGCAGGCAGTGAAGGCAGCCAAGCTCCTCAGGGGGTAATGCAGAGCTCTGAGCCAGCTTAGGTGCTCTGAACTGCTGGGATGGGTGTCTCAAGGACCACTGGGATGAGTGTCCCAAGAACTGTTGGGATGAGGGTCCCAAGAACTGCCAGGAGGGGCATCCCAAGAACRGTTGGGATGAGTGTTCCAAGAACCTCCGCGATGGGCGTCCCCAGAACTGTTGGGATGAGCCTCTCAAGAACTGCCTGGATGAGCATCTCAAGAACCACTGGGATGGGCGTCCCGAAAACCGCCGGGATGGGCGTGCCAAGTCAGAGGTTTACGGGACACAAAACCAGCTCGCTCTCAACTCATTTCGTCTTCTCCTACACACGGGCATCATTCCCCTTTCCTCAGTGTGTCACTCCAGCCTTCCTTGGTCCAAATCTGCTCTTTCCCAGGAGGAATGATCAGTGTCGAAAGCCTTTGSGGACATGGGATCTCCAACCACCGTCAGCTCCACGTTTCCCACGTGACAGCAATGATGGGATGATTCAATCCCCTTGGACCACGAGGGGAAGGTCACTTGCTTAGGGTGTCCCTGACAACTGGTCGCACTATTTTTGCAGTCTCTTAGAAAATCTATTGCCATCTATTTCTGTGGACGTGACATACACCTTCATTAGGAACATTAACATTGATTATTCTCTCCAGTGCACTGAAGGCTTTAGGTTACACATTCAGAAACGTTTCCAAATCCATGCAATTTTTATAATGACAGAAAATAGCTCCAGGACAGTCTCCTTGTTTAACACCTGGATGGCCAAGGTGGGCAAAGGTGGACCTGAAAGGACACTCCTAGCCCAGCTAGAGACCAGTCTGAACAATCCATCAAAACACTCAGCTCCAGAGATGGTCAAACATGTCCACTGGAGCCACACAGCCCTGACCTGGAAGTGGCCAGAAATAAGAACGGGCAAGGACGGCTCTTCAGAACACATCCACCTGCACGCAGAGGAAGGAGTCAATGRCCTGAAAATCCAGGGGAAACGTGAAGCCACCTTTCTCCAGGGTGGATTCCAGCTTCGGTGTTGCAGCCGCGAGGGGCACCAAGGCAGCACCAGAAGCCAGAGCCTGCCCGTGTCCTGCCAGGCCCCAACGCAGCGGGCAGCTGGCAGCACGTGGGGCAAGAGCCGCCGAGAGGGCCAGTGCACTCATGGAACCACCTCCCAGCAGGAACCCACCATCATTCACCAACCAKTCCTCCCACGTTACCTTCAGACAGGGTGCTTCATGCACCAGCATGACATGCAAGAGCTTTGCAGGACTGAGGTGCATTCAAAGATCACTTTTACAGTGCTCTATGGCTAAAAGCCTCATGCAGATTCTTAAATAACCACAGTTGGAGGTGAAACTTCAGGCAAAGGAACATATTAGGGGGAAGACAAAAGGTAAGTCTGATTTTCAAGGCAATTTCATGCTTATATTTCATAATGCAACTTAAACTAGCAAAACTGCCAACAAAGAGCAGCTATGGTTTTAAATGCTCGCATTCCCAGCGTGACTGCTCAAGCTAATGGCATTACTGCTCAGTGAGATAACGCAGTAAACACTGGTGAAACTGCTGTTTCCCAGGTCCCACTCTCACCTCAACACTGCTCCCTCGCAYGGCCCCTTCACCCGCAGGGCCAGCACCGACCCTGTGCAACCAGCACGAGCTCCAAGGCACCCRGCCCCAAAGCCTTCTCCTCCCTGGAGGTACCTGCTCAGGAGGAGCAACCCTTGGACTGCCACCCAGGGAGATGTGATGCTGAGGGTGACAGCTCTGTAGCAGCTTTCAGAAGGGGGGAAACCCTCATTTGCTGGGGGGAACTTTGGAAACTAATTCAAGAAATTCTACAACCAAATCTGGGTCTTTCCAGTGACCGCTGGAGATGTGACCCAGCTGCTAACGACACCAAGGGCTATGCTGTCTTAAAAGAAAATGCCCAAGTAATCAAAAGAAAATCATAGATCTAACTGCAAAGCAGGAAAAACAAAGCAGTTTCCAACTAGGCATCTTGTGGTAGGTCCCCTGGGTCCAGCTGAAGCACCTTGATGAAGACCCTCCCTGTCTGATCCACCTAGGCTCTTCCACAGGGCAGGATTAAGCACCCYCATGACTTTCCTACTGCTCGAGGTCTGATATTTCTCTCAAATACACTGCATTCCACATCAGAGATGATCTCAATGCAAGTGCTTCACATTTGCAATACAACTACTGAAAAAAAATACTCCAAGTTAAACAACTTTAAGGTGTGATCAAGCAGCAGAAGAGGAAACACTTGTGAGGCCAGTTCCACCCCTTCCCAGCACCAAGTTACACGTGAGTTCTCAGCTACCACGTTAGAAAGGTGCATGCGAAATTCGGAGAAAGGGTTCGGACCACAGCAATACAAAAGAACAACACTAAGGACTTGAAGCTCTAGACTTTAAAAGTCATCTTGACAATGAGATATTCAGTTACTTGAATCACCATGATGATAGGTCTGTTCTATTTAGCTTCTCTTGCAGCCAGGATATGCTTTAATCAGTCCATGAAAATCCCTTTCTAAAATAAACCAGAGGTTGGGCTACAAAACCAATTTCCTTCTTTTACAAGGGCTTCAATTAGATGCCAAAAGAAGCTGCAAATCAAAGGATGGTTTGTTCATTGAGAGAAGGCAACATTTTAGTTTCATTAGGTATTAAAGTCTAGGCAGTTAGTGGAGACCAGACACCATGAGGAGGCCACAGCAAGGGCTACAAGAAACCAGCCACCAGGGTTCCCGCATGGCACAGACTTACCCAGAGCCTCAGCTGGCAGGCGGGTGCGCGTGGCGAGAAAGTGCAGGACACAAAATTGACACAGAAAGGAAAACAAAAAAAGTCAAATGGGTGTTGCAGCACTCCGGGAGCAGATCAGACATTATCAWCAGCTCTGGGACAAGAGGGGGAGCGGGTTGGAGGAGCCTACTTTGACTTCTGCTGCTGCTGCTGCAGGCAACCGCGTCAGCTTTGCTTACTGATGAGCTGCTGTAAATCAAACGCCCGGTTATTCATCATGCAGTTTGAATTACGATATTTAAATCGGCTTAGGGACTCTGYTTAGCTTGCAGATTCCTAGGCAAGAAGGTGGTAAGTTGTGTTTCAGGGCAGGTGCACAGCATGGAGAGCGCCCAGCTCGGCCCCATGGGAGGCCCRGGCGGCACGCGGGGCTCGAACCCGCAGCGGCCGCGCAGGAGCAACCCGGCGCCTCCCGGGGCTCCCCACTGCAATTACAGCAATAGATGCTTAATTAAATGGAACACTAATTGCTGATGCCGTGTGGAAGAACATCAAAAAGCCTCATCACGATATGCACATTTTAATTTAAAAAACCCTTTGCATTAAGCTGTGCAATAAACCTGGCTACCTGTCAGGAAGAAGAGAAGTGTCAAAGGACATCCAAACTCGGGGAAGGAAAATGAAAGTCAGAGGGAGCTGCGGTCACTGAGCTGGCAACACGTCTTCCCTCCCGTTTTATCACATTATAAAAGCTGCAGGAGTTAAAAAATGCCCTGGGCACTACAAAAATCCACACAGGATCTTTCCCTGAGGCAGATGGGGATAATTTGCTAATAAGTTCCCCTCTTCCTGAGCTATATCACATCAGTGGCAGAGCAAGGCCAGGCCCTCCCTTCACTCACCTCCCCAGCCTTGATCCATTTGAGGAAATAACCTAGTGGAGTCTGGCTCTGCTCAGAGATCCTCCCTCTGAGGGGCGCTCAGGATGGGCACCTTGCCAAGTTCCTTGAACAGGGTGCTCTGCATTTGCCTAAAAACCTGAATGTTCCCCAGCTATAACTGCATGGAAGAGTTTCTTGCTGTTTAGCTAAGAGTCACAGGACTGGCCCAATCCTTCCTGAGGACTGTAGAGCAGATATCATGGTTTGGGTGCAACACAAAACAGCTGCAAAGGCTCCAAAAACACACACAGGTCATCCCAACTAGTGGGAGGAGGGAGAAGAAAAGGCACTGGTGCCAGTGTCATATTCAGTTAATCACCATTCTGCTCTTTCCATTCCATTAGCACCTTCATCAACAGCCGGGCAAGGCAAAGCAGAGGCTGCCTCTGGGACGCTCAGCATGGACAGGACAGGACGTCACGGTGGGCTGCTGTTCATGGCAGACTCTGCAGAAACAGCCTTGGACAAGGACAAAGTCCAGCTTTCACATTAATACATATTGTAACAGCCTTGGGCTTCTTCTGGTGGGAATGAAGCATAATTCCTTCCCCAAAATGCCTTCGGATTTAAACGTTTTTCCCCTCCAAGCTGGCGCTCRGTACCATGTGAAGAGCCTCAAAGCAAAATGTTCCAGACATGTCCTGAGCAGAACTGAAACCCATCTGCCCAGTCAGAAACACCCAAGGTCAAAAACACAGAATGCAGCCAACGAGCACACCAGATTTCACAWGATAATGTTGGTATGTTTTAGTCAATTGAGTGTTACAATTAGATCCTTTATTTCCCTCTTTCCCTCCCTTTTTTTTTTTCTTTTAAACTAAAAGTCATTCATTTTGTTACCCTTTGATTACAGGCAGAGCCAAAGCTGCTGCAACCTTTCCTCTGAGCTCAGTGTAGCTGCAAGAGCTTCTAGCAGCACGGGAGGCCTTGACTCAGCATAAAACCTTCCCATGCATCTGGTCCTCCGGGCCCCTATTTAGACAGCAAGAATTTATATTTCAGAGGGACTTCTTAAAGACAGCAAAATGAAGGGAAATCACTGCTGAAAGGTCCATCAAAATACAATACTTGGATTTCCACAAAGATTTCTCATTTTATCCATACAAGGAAGAACTTCTTTCCTATGAGGGTGCCAGAGCCCTGAAACAGGCTGCCAGGGAGGCTGTGGAGTCTACTCTGGAGATSTTCCAAACCCGCCTGGATGACGCCCTGTACTCCGACCTGCTGGGATGAGCCCCATGGGCCACGGAGCTCTCCCCAAAGCCCAGGGGATGAGGGTGAATCCGGAGCCGGGCAAACATCTCGCCTGCCCACAGAGGACCTCCAGGTCAATTCAAACCCGTTTTCACCAGCTCTAGGGAGGAAGGAGGTGTGTGGGTTCAGAGACCCCACAGGCAAGTCGGTAACTTCACAGAAAATCCAGGGGAAGGCACCGCTCGAGGAAAAGCAGCACAGAAGGACGAGTCTGACAAACAAAACACGGGAGAGCCAAAACCCAACACAAGSGGCACCCATGCGCTCGGCCACGTGCGGGGTGGCTTCACCGGAGCTGCTCCYGGACAGCACATTCAGCCTCCCTGGTGCCCCAAGGCAACCTCAGTTCCAGAGCACTATCCCTGTGTAAACAAACCCCTTCTTGAGGAGGGTTTTGCCTCAGTGACAAGAGCAACACACTGCACCGTGTAGCACATCAAACATCAAACACACCTGCCAGGAGAAGACACCCAACGCCAGCTGCACAGCAACAGCTGACAGCGCCCTTACAAACGCAAGCAAACGCTCTCGTACTTCAAGGTGAGGATCAAAAAGGCAAAGAAGGGAAAAGGGAACTGCTGCTTTCCTCCCTTCTGCCTGTAACTGCTTTAGGCAGTCTGTCGAAGGATGGATTTTCCTCCCGCTTTCCCGCCGGCGCGCGGGGATGGCCGGCCGGCAGGTTCAGGTGCTGTCCTCACATCTGCAGGAACAGACATCTACAGCTCACAGCTCCTCAGAAAGTTCCTGCAGTTCCCTGTCCTCCTCCACCTTGTGCTGGCTGCCCGGGTGCCTTCCTCACCTCCATCATCCCCAGGCGCCTCTGCCCCTGGCCTTCCCCTTCCCTCCTGCTTCTGCTCTGGACCCCGTCGTTTCATGCTCTGGAAATACGGGAGCTTCGCTGAGCCCCCCGAGAACATCTCCTAGCAATGCACGGAGGAAAGGGCTCTAGGAAATGGGCTCTAGCATGGCTGCTATAAGAACGATGGTAAAATGACYCCATGCTTGCAGAAGTTTAATCCTGAAGGAGGACAGCTTTTYTTGTCCTTTACAAGGACAAGTGCAGGGTCCTGCACCTGGGGAGGAATAACCCCAGGCACCAGTACAGATTAGGGGTCGACCTGCTGGAAAGCACCTCCATGGAGAGAGATCTGGGAGTCCTGGTTGACACYAAGTTAACCATGAGTSAGCAGTGTGCCCTCGTGGCCAAGAAGGCCAATGGGATCCTGGCCTGCATCAGGAGGAGTGTGGCCAGCAGGTCAAGGGAGGGGATCCTGCCCCTCTCCTCAGCTCTGGTGAGGCCGCACCTGGAGTACTGTGTKCAGTTCTGGGCACCCCAGTATAAGAGGGACRTGGAGCTCCTAGAGAGGGTCCAGCAGGGAGCGACCAAGATGATTAAGGGAATGGAACATCTCTCGTAYGAGGAGAGGCTGAGTGAGYWGGGCCTGTTCAGYTTGGAGAAGAGAAGGCTGAGAGGGGATCTGATCAATATGTATAAGTTCATGAAGAGAGAATGTAGGGAGGAAGGGGCCAAGCTCTTCTCAGTGGTGGCCAGTGACAGGACAAGGRGCAATGGGTACAAGTTGAAACACAGGCAGTTCCATCTCTGTGTGAGGAAGAACTTCTTTCCTGTGAGGGTGCCAGAGCCCTGGAACAGGCTGGAACAGGCTGCCCAGGGAGGCTGTGGAGTCTCCTTCTCTGGGGATCTTCCAAACCCGCCTGGATGCTGCCCTGTGCCCCGTGCTCTGGGTGTCCCTGCTGGAACAGGGGGCTGGACTAGATGATCTCTAGAGGTCCCTTCCAACCCCAACCATCCTGTGATTCCGTGTAGCAAGACACTGGAGGGTCAATCTCCTCTTGGTTGGTCGTGRCATGTTCAGGGTACAGAGCAAGGAACCCAGAAGTGTCAGGAGAAAGTATGASAGCTTCAGCCCACCTGCTTTAGCTACTGCTGCCCACTTGCTTAACTATTGCTATTAACTATTGCTTTAACCATGTGTTGCCTTGTAGAAATGAGCTCCATCTTAATCATTGATCATTCCCAGGACACAGACACACTCTTCTCCGTTCCCACCTCACCAAGGGATTGCTCCTGCTACAGTGGGACAACACAGGTCAGACCAGAAAGGGGGAAGGCAGGAGCAGGAGGGAACAGSACACTCTTTTAAAGCACATATAGTTCAAAATGACACAATTCATCACACAAAATAGTAAACAGGGCAACAAAACAACAACAACAAGGTCTCATCACACCCACAGAAAGAACACAAGCCCTGAGGACAGGCATCCCGACCCGAAATGCTAGACTTTGCTGGCAACACGTGGACAGACAGAGCGGGCACACRCAGCGAAGCTCTCCCGCGGCCAGCTCCTGCCTGGCTCTGCCCTTTCCTCGTCCCCCTCACAAAGCAGCTCGTGCTCAGGAGCCCGTAGCCAGCCGTGTGGCTTGAGCAGGGCAGTAACAACTCACCTGTTTGGAACGGCAGCTAGGGCTCGCTCCCCTCTTCCAGATTAAGTCTAAGCTAAGAGGTTTTGGAAAGGTCAAACACTGAGGCCGGGAGAGGCCTGTTTCTCTCAGCCTCAGRCTCACAGTCTTTAGGCACGAGGGGAAGCACAAGCTGCATCCTGCAGCCCAAGAGCCTTAAAGCTGGTAGGAGCCCAGTGCCAGCAAAGGGAAGGAGCTCATCTGCTTCCATACAAGGTCCCCATCAGCTTTACAAAGCCTGACAGGATTTACACCTTGCAAAATAACACCTCGAGGAGCAGGTAATGCTGCAAATATCTAAGTGGAGGCACATTTCCAYGAAAATGATGGAGAAACTCCTGACAAGTTGGTGGTGGGAGAGCAACAGAAGCATGAGGTTCAGCTGCTAAAAAAACAAAGATCTCTTTTGTGGAGATCTCTTTTTTTTTCCCTACTCATCTCTAGTTTTCTGCAGTTGCCAACTACCCTCCCTGACAACACATCACCTTCTCACATGCTACGGAAGGAGGTAAGATTTAGGAGATTATAGGCTGTAAAAAAATGAGGGTGGAAAGAGAGAATAGAGAGAAATGTTAATAGTTACAGAGCATTTACATAATGGCCTTTTTGTGTTATTCCAAAAGCTTCTAGAAGATTTTAAAGGTATCTACATGAGTGGGGTTACAGTATCGATGCTCTTAGCAGGAATCAGCAGCAAGCATTCAGCTTTCAAAAGTGACTGACTCGGTACAAACAGCTTCAAGGCTTTTCTAAGAGACCATTAGACAGCAGCATTCAATGATGACTGAAGTGACACGCAGTAAGTGGACCCTGGCATTCACAATATATCGGTAGTACGTAACAGGGGACGAGCTATTGGACTAGAAAGTCCTGCTGTTGTTCATGTGTGTCAAGGAGCACAGCAAAGAGGTGCTGAAGGGCACAAGTATGGAGCAAGTTACCTTTCTTGGCTTTCTTCTGCAGCTTCAGCGTGTCAGACGATTTCTTTTTTATCTCTTGGCGGGCTTTTTTGTATTCTAAAAAAAACACATAGGTTCTGTATCAAATCACCTGATACTAAAAATCAAGGTTTTTCATAGATAAGGCTGTATTCAAAGATCTCAGACTACAAATTTTAAGAGGATAGTTATTTTTAATCAAAATAGCTTAGAACTCATTTTTGCAGTGCCTCTTGCTAAATATGGGAGCACACTCAGAAACTGAATCTTTCCCAAATAAACAAAGCCTCTAGAGAAGGAACAGCTGAGGGCACAGCACAAAATGGGAGTATCCTTTGGTTGAGACACTCATCCACTCSCAGGAACAGAAAATGGAGATGAGGGGTTTCTCAAAACATCTGTGCTCAAAAAGCAGGATCCCACAAGGGCAGAGAGGATCCCMCAATCCCTATCCAGCAGCAAAGCCTGGCAGAGGGAGAGGGGGCCACAACTTAGCCCAAGACAGGGCCACACTGCCAGCCTTGCCCAGAAAGGGGAACATGCTGCAGCTGCCCTCCTTTTGGCACGAGCTGCCAACCCCAGGACAAAATATTCCCCCTCTGTCTAGGCATGCTAAAGGTACCAGATAGGAAAGCTGATAAGTTGAATAATAATAACAACAATAATAACAACAACAACCATAGTAATAAATAAAGAAGATGGAAGGTATGTGCGGGTGTTCACACACACACAGTGAAGCAGAGGAGGTCACTGTTACTGCTCGTCAATAGGTGGAGAAAGAGAACCAGGCTGGTGGTGAGAACAGGAGCAGTGCCTGGACCTCCAGCACCCAACTCTGCCTCCTAAACTCTGGCTCCTGCGCTGGGCAGACCCTACGGCCCCCTAACAAAGCACCACGGTGCTGCTCTTCTCAGGCAGAGCAAAGCCCTGGATTGTGGGGGGTCAGTGGTGAAGGGCGAGCAGCTTTTAGTGCTGGGGCCAGAGGCAGAACCACAGCAGGGGCTCTGCGAGGCTGGCGCTGTCCAACCACGAGCTCCGGCCACGCAGGACCCCTCAGTGAGAGCAGAATTAAACCCAGCATCTTTTCAGCAGGAAAAAACCTACCACTTGGGGTCCTGCTAACTTCAAAATAAATGTGCACGAGTGAAAAGAAACTGTTAAGGACTTTGGATGTTCTATTTCAAAACACAACATTTGCTACACGTATTTAAGTACATGTCATTCCCATCCCCAGTATAACCATTAAAAGAGGAAGGAAAGCTGGTATCACAATCTCACTCCAATTAAAGACTTCTTCCTCTGTAAGTACCTTTTGCATGGTCTTTATCCAGTTGATTGGCCACTTTCTTCCACTCTTCCATCTGCTCTTGAAGTGGGTTTATCAGACAGTCAATTAAAGCACTAATTTTGTTGAAAAAACACAAAGAGCAATCAAATCCTGCAGATGCCCCTATTCTTGCAGAGAGAACCAAGGTCAACACGGGAGTATTTTTACTTTCTGCTGCGACAGCTACTAGTGTCACAATGCAAATATCAGAGTGCAGAAATGCTTAAGCTGGAGAAAGCCAAAGAAAAGGACCGGATCAAGAGAAGTTTCCCTCCCAAGATAAACCCGAATGACTATGTAGCAGATTGGGGCAGGGAGGAACTGAAACCAGGAGTGACCTCAAGCAGGGCCAACGTAACCAGTGCGATTCCACTTCTTTGACCCTCTACCCAACACTCTGGGGCTTTACATGGCCTGGAGGTTACCGGTTCACAAAGGACATGCACAGGGTGATGGGGAGCAGCTGTAGGAGCTGTCAGCACCCTGCCCACCACGGAGCCTCCCRTCTCACCAGGCAGGGCCCGAGCGTGGAGGCGGGTCAGCCTCGGGCCCGTGCCGTGGCCGGCACCGCTACGGCAGCTCCTGCTGCTGCTGCCCTGGACGTGGTGGAGGAGCTGAGCGCCCCAAAACACAGGGGCAGCACCCCGGCCCAGCGAGCCCGGCTGCTCAGCACTGCTCGACACACTGCCCAGGCGGGTGCAGCATTCGGGGCGGTTTGAGGAGATGAATCCATGTCCCCGATGCACTGAAACGCACTGGGAAGGAGGAGCCAGGGCTCGTCCTGGGGGGCTGCCCGCGCTCCCACCGTGGCGGCGCGCGGGTCGCGGCCCCGGGGACAGCTTGGCGCTCACCTGGAGAACTGCCTCAGCTTGGACTCGATGCTCCTGTGCCTCATGCACATCCTGGTCAGCGCGGAGCCGATCTCGCGGGTGCCACCTGCAGARGGAGACGCGGGGCAGGTGAGAGGCCGCTCGGGCCGCTCTCCGTGCGGGACACGCGGCGCTCCAGAACACGCCGCGTCTCACGGAGCGACCCCAAGCTGCAGCACTCAGCACCTGAGCATCTGCAACCACGTGGGGCGTCATTTCTGGAGCCAGTCCAGCCAGTGGCCCCATTTCCCATAAACAGACTCTTCAGCCCGTGTTCAGGAAGGATTTGACTTGTCTGAAATACATCACCCACCCTGACTGCTCCCTCCTCACTAACATAAATGCATCCCACGGTCACCACATGCCAGGAGATGGCACTGTTTGCTCTGCACCCTGGCTCCCTTCAGCTCCTCTCACAACTGCATGACAGCAGCAAGTTTTGGTAAATCTTCCTCTTCCAGAGCTTTCCTTTTCAAACCCACAAGTTCCACTATTTCCCACTGTGATTAGCATTTCCAGCTGTGATTCGTACATTAGATTTCAGACATCAGAAAATATAAAGGAAGCATCATCTTAGTACAATAAATAGGAAATAAGGCACCATATGTTTCAGAGAGGAGGAAACCACGGTCAGGTGCTATTAATATTAAACTGCAAGGTAACAATATTTTAACTGAAGCACCAGTAAGCAAAGTATGACTGTCTTCACAGAGTACAGATGCATGGACAAGGTCAGCAAAACAGCTCTACAGTTAGGTGCAGGGACTGGCTAAAAGTTGAGACACTGGTTTCCCTTCCCTTCCCTTCCCTTCCCTTCCCTTCCCTTCCCTTCCCTTCCCTTCCCTTCCCTTCCCTTCCCTTCCCTTCCCATCTTTTGCAACCTCAGGTTATCCTGAGTTTATAAGAGCACAGAGAGGCATTAGCTGTTCTAGGAATGAACGCTACCCCACCAGAGAGAAGGAGGAAGGACAGGAGCAGCTCTGAAGAGCTTTAATGGCCCTTTTGGAAAGGAGGTCTTGCAGAAAATGGGCTGCAACACCCGTGTTTAAGTTGAGCTCCTTCGGCTCTTCATTTGTAACAAGAGGACAGGATTTATCTGCTTCTCTGACACACAATAATAATTCATCTGTTAAGGTTGACAACATTTGGGAACCATGTACAGCAGGAAACCAGGGACTAAAACCATGTTCACGAGAATTCTCCATGAGGACAAAGTGGTTTCACAAAACCCCCCAACGGGATCCCAAAGTGGGTGATGGCAACAGACCCTCACCCAACCTCTTATCTCCCTCCTTGGCCTTCAGCCTTGGGGCAACCCCAGGGGCTCGGAAGGCAGCTGCCTGTTGGGAAGGGCCTTGGCAGCTCCCACTTGCCAACCAGCATCTCCATCATCTCCATCTCCAAGGGCAGGCGCCTGGGGCACCAGCACTTCGCTCTTCCCCAAAAGGGGCACAAATGACAAAAAATGGCTGTAATATTTCTGTAATTTCGACCTTATCAGAAAAGGCTTCCATTTTGCAGCAGAGATTAAAAGCGGGAGCTGGATCTAGGGCAGATTATTAAACCCAGCTTGGAACAAGGAGGCTGTGACGGGATGAGTAACAGCAGGACGCCTCGAGCTGACGGCCCTTACTCACCCCCTACCCAACTCATGCTGCAAGAYGAGCAACCCCCTCCACCGCGGCCTGCACACGGGGTGGCCCCAGGACCCCCAAGGATGACGGGGTCGGTACCGGGGTGGACAGCAGAAACAGAGGGTGGTTGCTCAGAGGTGACAGCGACGGGCTCAGGTTGTGGGAACTGTCCCCGGGATGGCAACCTGGCACACAGCACTCTGGCAGTTTTTCCTGTTCTGGGGTACTGAAAGCCCAAAGGTTAAGACTTGTAAGCTGGAAAACACATCAGGAACTGCATGCTGGTGCTGCACCCAGCAAAGAAACAAACACGACAACCCAGATGAAACCAAAAAGGATCCTTATTCCTACAGGTGCTAARAGCCCCTCTGAGCAGTAGCCAGCAAGTGTCTCCGAAAGCTGCTGTTCCCAGCAAGCTAAGAAACGCTTCCTAAAGTAGTTAAAAATAGTTTTAACTTAGTCCTTCTTCAAAAAACTGAAGCAACAAATGCAAATTAAAGGTCAAAATCATCTAAATATTTTAAAATAGTCAATTTTGAAAGCCTTAAATGACAGCAGCAGGCCGTGCTGTATCCCCGCTGCTGTCACTGCAATGAAACAGATTGTTTGCAGCGTTCAGTAGAGCACCCTTTTCGTTGAGTTACTTAGAAAATGTATTTATAGGAGCCTGATACTAACTTGTGTTAACTAGGACTCCGTGCAGTCCAGATGATCCCCAGGAGAAGCTGTGCTGGGTTCCTGCTTTGCGGACAACGCTTGCATTTCCCCCGGACAGCAGGGTTTCTGATTGCATTTGCATCGGTTTTCCAAAATTGAAAGAGGAAGAAGAGGCAGTTATCTAAGGCAGTGAAGAATAAGCTAGGCAAGAGGAACAGGAAAGCAGAAGCAAGGCCGGGCTACAGCCGCCTCCGGCAGCTGCTGGCTCCAGGAAGTCCATGAAACATGTCTGGTGAGTACATTGAAGGAGGAAACGCAGGGGAAYGACAAGTTTTAGATGACAAGTTGACCATGAGGCAGCTGTCTGCCCTGGTGGCCAAGAAGAYCAACAGGATCCTGGGGTGCATTAAGAAGAGCGTCTCCAGCAGGTCGAGGGAGGTGATCGTCCCCCCTATACACAGCCCTGGTGAGGCCACATCTGGAGACTGTGTCCAGTTCTGGGCTCCCCAGKACAAGAGGGATGTGGAGCTGCTGGAGAGAGTCCAGCGCAGGGCTACCAGGATGATCAGGGGCCTGGAACATCTGCCCTATGAGCAAAGGCTGAGAGAGCTGGGCCTGTTCAGCCTGGAGAAGAGGAGGCTGAGGGGGGACCTGATCAGYGTGTATAAATACCTCAAGGGAGGCAGTGAGGAGAAGAGTGCCAGCCTCTTCTCAGGGGTGGCCAGCGGTGGGACTAGAGGAAATGGCCACAAACTGAAGCACCAWWAGCTCCATAGGAACTTAAGAAAAAAATTATTAACAGTGAGGGTGACAGAGCTCTGGAACAGGCTGACCAGAGARGATGTGGAGTCTCCTTCTCTGGAGATCTTCCAAACCCGCTTCCAAACCCGCCGCCCTGTGCCTCGTGCTCTGGGTGTCCCTGCTGGAGCAGAGGGTTGGACTAGATGATCTCTAGAGGTCCCTTCCAACCTTGAACATTCTGTGATTCTACAAAAACTCATCCGAGACCCATGCCAAGATGGGTCTGAGTAACCAAAGCCTCCAGTTTGGCCACGCTGCCGTGGGGCACAARTTTATTGAGCCCCCCAGCTCCTCTCCCACTAGTCAACGTGGCTCAGGCCACAGGATTTCACTTCAGGAGGTTTCTTTCCAACTTTCTCTTTGCAGGCGCTTGTTGCTGCTCTTTATGAATAACAAGCTCAGGCCAAGGTTTTAATGCCACAAAAATAAGGGCAGCATGAACAGTAGAGCTGCTCAGAAGAGCAGACACTGAACTTGAGTTTCCCAAGGCTGTTTCCACAYTTTTCCCTGATTACTGAATTCCCCAAGGCCTGATGAAAATCCATGCTGCCCCTAGCTCTCCAGACCCCTCTTCACCTCCCTGAGCCCGCTCTGCAAACAGCCAGGGAAGCCCAGGGCCTAATCCCAGCCCGGCCTAYGGCTCCGCTCCAAGCGCCGCCCGCGGCTGAGGCGGCAGCGCGAGGCCCCGCGCACGGACGAGCGCAGCCTGCGGGCACCGGCAGCCCCAGAGCYGGCGTTTCGGGGCCGTCTCTCACCGTGGGGCACCCGTCCCCGAGCCCTAACAGYGGTGACACCTACAGAAAGGCTCTGCCTCGTTGCGGGGGTACTCGCTGCACGGCCCCGAGCCCACGGTCTGGCTGAGCAGACTCCGCATCGCCGCGACCCACGGGCGGCAGCCGCTGAAGCGCCGCATCAGGCAGCGCTGAGGCAAACAGGTGCAAAAAGCAGAACAGCAACTACTTTTTTTTCTTTCTTTTTTTTTTTTTTTTTAATTGAGGTCAGCAGATGCAGCTGGAGCCCCAGAGCAGGCAGCGCTGCGGGGGAGGCAGGGCTGCTCCGGCTCCTTGTGATCCTCCTCGGCGCCTGCAAGGGAGGACGGCGAAGGCGCAACGGGAAGCGGGACCACCCAAAGCTGCCGCAGGAATCAGCACCTTGAGACCCTTCATAGACAGCTGCTTGTGCCTCGGTTTGCTACGAGGAGCTCCAGTGACACCCACAAACAGAGCAACCCAGGGCGTGCGCGAGGCCGCGCGGGGCCTCGGCGCCCTCCTGAGGAGCCGGATAAGGGACCCCCTTCGCCGGACGAGTCTCCCAAGCTCGGGAGCTGCTGCGGCAGGAACACGCAGCGCTGCCCCTCTTCAATCGAACGGCACATAACACAGCATCCAGGGCACTCGCTTTATAGTTATCTGGCCTGCCCTGAGCCTCTTGAAGCTTCACCCCATGCTATATTTAAAGGCAGCTGCTGGGCCGCTCCGCATACCAGCTCTCAGACAGCTGACCGCCCTTGCCCTCATGGCAAGGCCTTTTTTTGTTTCTTTTTGGCAGCATCCCACTTATTTTCCAGTTTCTGCACTGTGCTACAGTATTCTGCGCTTTCACATTTCCAGGGAGAATATTGGCACGCGGGCTCGACAGCAGCTGGCCGCGCAAGCCTGCAGCGCGAAGGAATTCAGCGCACGACGCTGACCGCAGTTAAAAATAAATAAAAGAAAACACCTGCTATAAAAAAGGAAAATGGGGACAGTCATCTCCTGATAGAGACACTAGGGGCTCTRCATTCCTGTCCACAAGCTCAGTAGGAGACGTGCTCAGAAAGACAGAGCTGAACAGCAAGGTCGGGATCCAAACTTTTGAACCGGGAAAGGAACTGGCCTTTTCTGCTTTACCCTCCCCAGGTCCTCGCTGTTTCCCCCGGCAGATTCGCGTGCTCTGCAGGCAAACTGCTGTTTATGCTGCAAATCCTTCCAGCAAG